TTTCATAATGATCATTGATGAATAATTTGTACCATATCTATAAACATGTCTTGAATATTTTTTCATATAATTATAACTACTTACGAGACTATTATAAAGCTAATATAACTATTAATAAAATATGGTATACTAAAACGTTCATAATTGAGGCGGGTCCTTGCTTCTACACATAAAAATTTTGCAACTTATAAATCATGGGGGACCGGGCATGGCATAGCTAGGTGGTTAAGACGCTCGACTCGCAATCTGTGGGTCGCGGGTTCGAATCCCCGTCATACCAAACATGCTCATTCTTTCAGCCATGGGGCGCTTTAAGTGATGGTCAATCCCACTATTCGTTGGTAAAAGAGTAGCCTGAGAGTTGGCGGTGGGTGGTGATGACTAGCTGCTTTCCCTCTAGTCTTACACTACTAAATTAGGGACGGCTAGCGCAGATAGCTTTCGTGGAGCTTTGCGCGAAATTCAAAAACAAACAAACCTATAAATCATGGTGTTTATAATTTTCGTAAAATAATAATACTTCATGAAAGAAGAAATCCGAATAAAATAGAAGCAAATTAATTAGAAATTTCACTGTCCTCGCCACTTTCTTTTTTAGCTTGTGGCTTTACATAACTTAGAATACAAAGTAGAACTGCATTTCTAAAGACTATTTTTATTTAACAATGATTTTAGAAATGCGTTTTATTTTTGTCTTCCATGACATCATTAGGATAGATATTACAGGTTTATGACAAAAGCAGTGACCCCACCCCCCATTTTAAAAAATTCACACGGATAACCACAGATCATAAAAAAAAAACAAGATAAGAGAAATAACTGAGTAAAATATCCTATAATTGCTGTATATTCCAATTACCCGCATTGAAGGCTTAAGTACTCCAAAATACTTGCAAAAGATGTGGGGCAAAATAGTTTCGTTTGGAAGAGGTAGAAGTTAGAAAAATTATTCATATAACTGTCGAAAGGGAAGTTACATATATTTTGTGTAGTCTGAATTACTACTACATAAATAGTGGTCGTTATCTATCAATAGTGTGTCCGCGGCAGCAGTGAGAATATCGTTTGTAAAAGACATATTAAGGATTTTATTTTGTTTGGTTTTGTGCAGAAAGTTACACAATAATTATCTGTGCTCTGACCACTACTGGTATCGAAACTCAATTTTAGCGCTATAAGCCCTCATACTTGCCGCTGAGCCATCAGGAGGTCATATTAACGAATAATTGTAGTTAAGCTTGAATGAAATAGAATTGTAAATTATGTAATAACCAAATTATCGGAGGAAAAGCTAGAAAATAAATATAACAATAAACGCATGCCTCTAAAACAAAATATTTGCTTAAGTGTGAAGTATGAAACCATTCAATTCTATCTTTTGATAGGGCAAGTTTCATGGTGGCAAGAACAATTGTACCCAATATGCAGGTAAAAAGAATGTTTTTATTTTTAGTGATACTTCATTTCTTGCCGAAAATATGTTAATGAGTATGAAATTTGTTTGTTTACTCCGTTTTAGATTACTTTACATACTTACAAATAATTATTAGTTTACTACACAACTGTTTACAAATAACTATTAGTTTACTACACAACTGTTTACAAACAATTATTAGTTTACTACACAACTGTTTACAAATAATTATTAGTTTACTACACAACTGTTTACAAATAATTATTAGTTTACTACAGAACTGTTTACAAATAACTATTAGTTTACTACACAATTGTTTACAAACAATTATTAGTTTACTACACAATTGTTTACAAACAATTATTAGTTTACTACACAATTGTTTACAAATAATTATTAGTTTACTACACAACTGTTTACAAATAATTATTAGTTTACTACACAACTGTTTACAAATAATTATTAGTTTACTACACAATTGTTTACAAATAATTATTAGTTTACTACACAATTGTTTACAAATAATTATTAGTTTACTACACAATTGTTTACAAATAATTATTAGTTTACTACACAATTGTTTACAAATAATTATAAATTGCTACTTCTATGTACAAACTGTAGTAAATCGGCAACATTTATTTATTTGGTTTGGACTCTCATACAGCAAACCTACAATCCGTTTGTTTCGTCATATGTGTTGTATGCAAATTGTGTTACTTGCTACGCTGGTATATCTAGATTGAAACAACCTGCTTCATCAAAAGGTGTTTCAGAAGTCTTTGTTATTTGAAGTTCTAACGAATAAAACTTAATTATTGTTTTCAATTAAAATTGACCGTTAATGTTGGTTGTTGTTTGTAATTAAGCACAAAGCTACACAATGGGCTATCTGTGCTCTGCCCACCACGGGTATCGAAACCCGAATTTTAACGTTGTAAGTCCGCAGACATACCGCTGTGCCACTGGGGCGGAACCGTTAATGTAACAGAACGTAAACATACATATATTTTTTACATGAGGATAGTTCTTTACAATAAAAGATTCGACTTAGAAAGAATATAGATTTACAATATTTAGACCCCAAGCACCCATGGACATTTCTTTAATTAGTTCATGGCATCATACTTAAAAAGTTAAATAATTACTATGTTTTCAAGATTTGTATCAAAATTTTAATATTATTTCATTGTATATTTTTGGCGTAATATTTAAGTTTAAATTAGTTTTAATTAAATGTGATGCCATGTAGTATACGGAGATCTATAGTCAGTTAAATGAAAGTTTGAATTATTTGCATAAGGATAAATGCATCGTTTTATCTAACTCTAACAAGTTTGTTATTTTTGATGTTTCATTACTGTAATATTGGTTTTATTTGAACCATTTTCAGTTATGGATGCCAAGCTGTTTAGAAAACTGTTAAGTTTATTTGGTAATGCACTTAGTTTCACTTGATTTTTTTCTAAATCCTAGAAAGATTTTCTTGTGAGATTTTGGAATGACGTATGAAGATCTTTTCAAATTTGTCACTAAATTCAATTTTTTCATAACTAAAGAATCATAATACGTTTGTCTAATAAACCCAAAGTTATTGATCACCTTATAAAAAACTAGCTTATATTTTTGATATTATACCAAAGGGTGGAATAGTGTATATGAATGCGTTTGGAAGCAAGGTAAAACGTTGATTATTGTAAAAATATTCTTTATTGAAACATTTTGATTTGTCACTCAGGGCACGTGATCTAAAAAAAAAAAAGAATGTGAACCAGAGTATTCGTCATGATATCTTCGTTCTTGTAGTAAGTAGGCCATTGAACATGTGTAATCTAAAGTAAATATAATATAATATAACCTTATAGAACTCATTCAAAGTTACTAATTTCTTATGGGTTAAACACGAAATCAAAGCACTGGTTTGTTCACGTGTAATAATAAATCCTTTTTATTTTGAAATTATAAATACATCCGAATTAATGTTTAAAGCAACATATATGTTTTAATTAAGATTATTATTTACAGTTTATTTAATTTAGTTTAACTGAACGACTTTTAGAACTTTTATATTTGCAGTGAAAGTTCACAATTTAAGAATCAGTGCTGCTCATTTTTATTTAAAAAAAGTTATAGTTAAAGATGTTTCCCTGGGTGGAATTTTGTACATAGCTCTTTGTTTACAATGTGGTCTCCAATAAAAAGTTTACAATACATATTTTAAGAGATTTGTTTCTTCGAAACGAATTTCATCAAGCAAAGATATAACACTTCCAAGAATGTTAATGTACTTACTGAAATACAGCAGCCAGTACTTGATTTAGCAATCAGCCGGTCAAGTTCTGCGCAGATAGCACATCGTCCTGTTTTCAGATGAGTAATGAACGATTTCGTCATCGGAATGTGGCCTACTGTACGTTCATTATGAAATGCGTTTAGATGGAGACTCTGTATTTATATACATGTATAAATTATAATAAAAATGTTTTATAAATAAAATTACGAAAAATATGTTCATTTGTTGGGTTCTATTGGATCTTCCAGCTGTAATATATATTTTCTTCTTACTTCTTTTCGTCACCATGATGCATATCACGTAATCCAAATAGATATATGCAACTGTTCGTATGTCTGTTTTCCTCATAACGTATCTTGATTTTTTTATCGTAACTTGTATTGCAAAATAATATAAATATATATACATTAAATCATTTCTGGAAGCTCCCCGGTGGCACAGCGGCATGTCTTCGGACTTATAACGGCAGAAACCGGGTTTCGATACATGTGGTGTGCAGAGCATAGATAGCCCGTTGTGTAGCTTTGCGCTTCAACTACAAACAAACATGTCTGGAAGACACAAATCTACTTGATGACAGGGCCAAAGCGTTCCTTGCACCAAGAATATTTTATTGTTTCTTAAACATAAACTTTTTTTATAAAGGCCTCAGAATAACGACTAAAAATATAACAGCTAGTTACTGCTGTCATATTTCACAAGCAACCCACAGGTAGATCAGTAGTAACTTTACGTATTTGCAGTTCTAAAATCCTGGGTTCGATTTCCCACGCTTGAAAGAACCAAGATAGCCCACCGTGTAGCTTTGCGTTAAGAAAACAACTTTACAAGTTAACTAATAAGAAATAAATCAGTTCTGTTGACGCCATTCAATCGATGATAAAGATCATACAGGACCAATGAAACGGCGATGAGTTCACTTTCAGTTTTTTTGTTTTTGTATGCGTGTGTGTGTGTATTGAAAACGGGTTTGAAAAATTCACCCGTTCAGGTCCTATCTCTTTGATTTCGGCAAAGTATAAAATCAGCTGACAATATTGATATAGCGTTCTATCTTATAAAAAAAATTATTTATACATTTTACATTGAAACTAAAATAATAAAAAAAACACTGTGCGGAAGATCCGCTGCAAGTCCGTGTACCTGCATTTCAGAAAACATGTTGTGTCAAGCGCATACACGTTAGCAAACAGCTTTGTTCATTCACAAACCAGTCAAGCTGCATGAACAGTACGGCCTACTTTAACCAATCAAACAAGTAGGGGATTATTCAGAAGTAACTAACCAATACCAGTGCTCAGGACGATGACGTTAGAGTAGGACATGCACAATACTCACACTTAAGACCATTAAAAGTTGGACGCTGTAAGAATTCATTGATAAAACTGTTGTTAGGAGACATTAAATGTTTAGATATACTCGACCGAGCTCGCTGCTTGGATCAGTGACTTTAAGAGTTTAAAAGTGAACATTTGCGCACGCACAGAATTTACGAAATAGGGGATCACGCTATGCCTTTAATCAGCCTATTCTGATACAACTTAACGCGGTGGACGATAACGCAGACAGTGTGTCTCTGAAGCATTGATAGTCCGTAGGCTCTCTAAAAACTCACTCTGTATTGAGTTACGGACTATGGATAGAAGTGTGTTAATGGGAACAAATCAAGTGCTTGAAGAAGATCAAATCGTTCCGGACTGCATTCTACCCCCAAAGATAAAAGGAGTAGAAGGATCATCCTTTGATTGGAAAAAACCAGTAAGCTAATTTCTTTAAAGATATAGTACAAAAGTATCAAGATAAAGAAATATTTATGTAACAGCAGCATGTTATATATATACATATTCATACATAGTAATAGTTTAAGTAAGATGTATAAATACTAGCACGTATCTCTTGCTTTTTATATATACACACATATATACGTATGTATTTTGGGGTTTTACAGCACTGATGTGTTTTAGGGTTAGATGAATCGAGTTGAACCTGATTCACTGCAGTCATGTAGAACTACGCTGATAATAAAATTGGGCTCTATTTTTATGCAGTCTTTTTTTTTTTTTTGACAGGCTAAGTAAGACTGGCGTTGTATTGAGTAAACTATAAGGTATAAAAATAAGATCCACAAGTAATAAGTATGCAGGACTAAAAGTTCATATACTGCTCTTATTCATGAAAATCTGGTTGGGAAGGCGGGCGAGCTGAAATAGCAAAGGCAGAGATTCTCAAAGAGAAAACAATGAAGGGGAACGAGTCGAAGATCAACGAACATTTTTTTAGAAGACTTCAGAAAATTCAGAGTAAAGTGGTTGCCTGAAAATAAAATTTTCTTCACGGAATAGGAAAGAAAATAGGATTCAAGATACTCGAATTGATTAGTTTTTCTGCAAAGTTAAATACTAATTCTTGTTACAAAATGTTACCATTGTGAATAAAGAAACTGCTAGAATAATATTTCGTACATTTTACTCTGTAGGCTTATACAAACAGAATTATAAAATTAAAAAGGTTTGAACTTGTGTTTGGAAAACAAAACAGAAATCCGCACTCAACATCTCGTAAACTAGTCGATAGTTAGAACTAAGAACTTGATCGTCACGTCCGTCCGGACAAATCCGTGTCAACCTTTTGCAAGATCACCTAAGGGCCAGAACTAATAACCATTAGTTTTCTGGAAAGGGGCGGATGTATGACTCATACATTGGCATTCAAGCCAAACCATTTTATTGACATTTCTGTAGCTTCTTCGTCCTGTGCACCGGTTATGACACATAACTCTTACCGGAACCTGTCTTAAACATGAATTACGGCGACCCGGGATGTACAAAACTTGTTACAAACGATTACATAGTGATGAAATATGTCTGTTAACAATTTCGCAAGTAAACAAAGAAGTGTTCGATTAATTCGCTGTTTTCTTGTCTTCTACGTATGTGCATTTTAAGACTATGACAAAAGCATACTGGTTAAAAATAAATATATTTTTTGTTTTTCATAAATAATGCTAGACGGAGAAGGTAAATATTGTTTATTAGCGCAGATCTAAACAAGGAAGTATCTGCGTTCCTTCCGCTGCTAGGAATCGATCCCACCATTTTAGCATTGTAATTTCATAAACTTACTGTCAGGTTGGGGGAAGGTATTTATTAACTTGCATTGCACTAAGACTTACCATATTGACTATCCAATAAAATTATAAACTTTGTTAAATGGTTTTGCAAAGCATCTTTTATCAGACTTTCCAAAACTTTTCCCACAACTGATGTAAGACTAACAGGCTTATAATTACTGGATGATAATTTAGTTTAACTGGTAATTATTGGCTTCAATGCTCTGTTATAATAATGGTTCTTTAAAGGGAAATTGTTTGTTTGTTGAATTTCGCGCAAAGCTACTAGAGGGCTATCTGCTCTTGCTGTCCTAATTTAGAAATGATAGACTAGAGGGAAGGTAACTAGCTAATCAATATTACCCACCACTAACTTTATCAACGAAATTGACCGTCACATTACATCGTCCACATGACTGAAAGGGTAAGTATGTTCAGTGTCAGGACTCGAACCCGCGACATGCAGATTGTGGGTCGAGATCTCTAACCACCATGCTATGTCAGGCCGATGTAAAATTAACAATAGATATAATGTAATTCAAGTGTCTACACAAGTATAGCAAGTACTTAGCTAAAATATTTGTAAATTTCTTTTTCTACTTATCCAAATGCCATAATTTTCATTTTCTTCAGAATTAGCATTTTTTATTGTTTTAGGTGACTTTATCTTATCGGTCTTGCAGTAAAAGGGCAATATTCAGGTAATAAGTGAGTTAGGGTGTTGATAGCAAAATGAACATTAAGTAATAGTTGCGAATAAAGCAAGTGTTAGTCAACAATCCAGTAAATGTTCTAATGACACTGAAACCTTTTTGTGAGTGTGTAGACCTTAGTTGTAAGTGGAATCGTTTCTATCAAGATCTATACTGATGCTTAACAAAATGCACAATAGAGGAAGAGAGCTTGAAAAAAATGTTCAATTTTTTTGGGCTAAATAGTTAACATTTGGCAAAAAATGTTTTGTTCTCTGGGAAAAGTAGTGACATATATGCAAAAGAAAAAAAATTTAAACATACAATTAATGCATACATATATGTGTATATATCAATTTAGTTTGTGTATAATTACCTCCGTCACATGTGTGGTACATTTAGCCTCAAAGTTTTGGTCTGGTATTTATATTATCAATATGACAGTTTGAGGATAAGAATAGGATGAGCTATACGTATGGAAGTTATTGTTAGACTGGGATAGCGCCAAGCCATATGTCTCCTTTCTCGCTATAAGCTTTGTCAAATTCTATAACGAGGAATCTACTTTGAGACTAATAAAGTTTTCTTCGTTACCCATTCAAGCTGTTTCTAAACTTTATAAATAGTACAGTGTTGTGGAATAGAATATTAGCTTTCTTAATGTTATGCGTGTGTGATTATGACGAATAGAGATAGCTAACCGAATTCTGGTTCTCGGTAAATGTTACTATGAATTATGAGTTCAGAAACGACGGAAGACTTTCGAAACGTTATACTCTACACTTGTGTTTCTATACAACAGGCAGTTGCCGTCCATTGTAGTGTACTCATCACGAATACTCTGCCGAAACAATCTATCAAAAAAAAAGAGAATACAGTTTGAAAAGCATGCATTTTATTCTCCTAAACATTCTATTTCGGTCAAATAAATCATACGATATGTGAAAATATGTTTAAATCTTTTAATCAAGCAAATGTGGTGCACATTTGCAGCCGTGACAAACTTTGTATTGTCTCCATGGAACAATTGGCTTGTAAAATGGATAAGCAACAGGCAAAAACAAGTCTCGAGCAACCATAGGAAATATCAATTATGTTAAGTCTAAGGTACAGTGAACTTATCGCTACTCACCTCTGATTTTTGACAACTTACCTTGAGTAAATATTTACCATTAATTAACTATAAACATCAAAACAAATATCACGTACTATTATCGAGATATTTTTTTAGTATGGAGAACTGAACGCAAGACTATTTACCCACACCATATTCCACTTGAGATATAGGCTAAACCTGTATGTGAAATGCATTGAATAGCTTTTTACAGGTATTGTGCTTTGTCCAGCTACGATATTCGAACGTAAGATCAACACCACTAACATTTACTACAGTAGAAAAGCTTCGTAAACTGGTACTTCTTTGATTATTAGATTGAGTAATTCTATAAACTGAAAAGATTAAGTCCTATTATAAATGCTGAAATGAAGGGTTTTATCGCAAAACACGGAGCGTGGAGCTGAAGGTCAGTTGCTGCCTAATTTTGAATTTTACAATGCAGTTTTTTTTTTCATTTCTTGTTTTGTAAACTTTATTAAACAGAATTATATAACATTTTTTTAAAAGTCATAATCAAATTATTATTTAGAATACAGAAAAGTGATTTTGCCTGTATCTTGGGCAATAAACTAGCTAGAGAAACATGACTCATATCCTCACCGTATAGCTTAAATACATCATCATACTGCAATTTCATTCCTGATGCGATAGGCTTAGAACCTGAAGAAAATATGTCACATTATATGAAACTGTTCGCTGGTTTAATCTTGCATCAATATTGCTACGTATAGTGTTTTAGGCAAATTTATATCTTTTATGTTAAACAGGAATTTAGAAATGATAATTAATCTATTAAATTATTCCAACACAGAAAAAAATAAAAAACACATACCAAAACAAATGAAAAGTCTGAACAATTCAAGTGTACGTGACTACTATTTGATTGTAGAGAATTTTATTTCAGATCGTGTTACACAGTATCATTAAAATTTGCGCATCTCAGTCACATAGAAACGGAAATGCTTATTATCTTGAATACTTAGGTTCGTAAACATCTTAAGTTTTAAACAGTCACAAATCTGAAAAGTTCAGTAATTTATTTCTTTGATAATTAATTATACAAATGAAAGGTATGAATTTGATAATTTTAGGTTAAAACGCAGAATTCCGAGCATGATAATAAACATAAAATATACTATTTTTAGGTTCAAAAAAGTTAAACTTAAATCACCACATGCATTTCGTGCTAAATTAAAACTGCATCGAGCTAAGGTGTGCAATAAATAAAAATAATAATAATTTAGAGTAACAAACAATGTTAACAAAAGATGTACTATATTAAACCTCCCATTCGTGATTTTACACAGTAATCAATTTAATGTTTTATTTTGATATATATATATATATGGTCTTTGAGGCTACTGCCATTGGCCGTTATTTGTTATGGGCAGTAAATGATAGCTAGGATTTTATATTTCATAAATGAAACGTAGTCCTCTCGCCCGGCATGGCCAGGTGGTTAGGGCACTCGACTCGTAATCTGAGGG